TCAAAAGGTACACTACATATTGTGAAAGGTAAAGAAACTGCTCAAAAAGAAAGACCAACTGGGATGGGGGAAAGGAGAAAAAAAGAAGCAAGGGAAAAATATATATATGTATGTATATATATACAAGGTAGCTAAGATAATTGTACTACTAATTTCTATTGGTTTATTGAAAGCAACAGTTAATGCTTAATCATTTGATCAATTTTGCATGCCTGTATCTGGTAATCTGAACAACTACTTTGAAGATAACAATATGCAATATAACAACCATTGTTAATTTCCTATCATCGTGTTTTAAAATTCTGTATCATTTTTATTGTTTTTTATTTTTATTCTCTTAAAGAAAAAGAATAGTGCTTAAATAATCTTTCTAAGATATGAGATGTAAAAATGGAACTTGAAGGGAAAAAAATAAAGATAAAAATAAGAAAAAAAAAATCCAGAGATCAGATTAGGCTTGGTGGTACACGCCTGTAATCCTAGCACTTGGAAGGCTGAGGCAGGAGGATCCCCACAAATTCACGGCCAGCCTGGGCTTCATAGCAAGACCCTGTCTCAAAAGAACAACAAAAACAAAACAGAACAGAACAATCCAGAGATCATTTGTAATCATAGTATCTCCTTTTATTTGAAGGACTGTAAGTGCTTTTATGAGGATTAGTTTGTTTAGTTTGTAATTTTATGCTTGAAGAAGCTTGCAGGAATATTTATAGGCCCCACGTTGGGTGGGAGGTGAGGGCAGGGGAAAGCTTCATCATCGGGTTTTAGTTTGAAGTCTGTGGCACAGCACTGCCATGTCTGAGGGAAAATTTTTAAATATACGTAATTTGTAGCTGCACAGCCAAATTTCCTTGGAGGTGAATGTGTCAGGCGAGTGAAAATCAAGACAATGATGTGAAAATAAAACTCTTCTTTCCTTTCTAAGATTGTTTTATTCTTCCTGAGTTGCTGTTTTTATGAGCCACGTGGGGATGGAATTCAGGGTCAGCATTCGCTGCACTGGGAAATCCCTTGGTGAGTTCAGGGCCGTCACAGGGCAGGTGGTGGTGACACGGGTCATGCTGAACACGTGTTCCTCTCTCCTAACTCAGGGCCCTGCGAACATCTTCCACGTTTTCCTTTCTTTGAGAGGACACACTGGGACCGAGTACCTTCTCCCTCCCCCACCTCATGCTGTTTCCCTAATTGTGGGTCAAACTAAAAGCTCAAAGAGCCAGGCAATGGGAGCTGAGGGGAAAACATAATTTTTTAAAAATCTGTCTCTTATGGTTTGTGTCTGGGTGTCCCCCCAAAGCCTCATGCGGTCACGGGGCAGGCTTTTAGAGTTTGACTGATTATGGGTGTGAGAGCTACACCAGCCCCAGGGTGGATAGTTTGCATATGTAAGGGAGAGGAAGAGGCTGCTCCCAGCCATTCCTCCCTTGTGTGCTTGTTGCTTTT